AAGAGAGAGAGACATTTGTACGTGTGCACCTACGAACAATATATATATATACACACACATCAATGCACGAATACACGCATACACACGTAAAGAGAGAGAGAGAGAGAAAGAGAGAGAGAGAGACAAGTGTGTACGATCACAAACTAATGTTGAAGAGTGTGCTTCGACATCTACGTATTCGTACGTATATGTACATATATATATATACATATACGTTTGTATATAGATATCACGATGTATGTGTGTGTATAATATCGAGTGTCGCGTGCGCGTAAAGAGATTTGACGTGTGTGTACGCGGAGTACCGGTCTATATATACGTTGTAGCTTGGCAACAAGCAGTCAGCGAGTTGCGGGGCAAGGTCGACCCTCTCTCTCCCCTAACTATTTTATCCCAGACATATATTTGTTACGAAACTCTTGTATATAACTACTGCGGTAGAGCGCGCAACACATAGCTTAAGCGCGTTTATTCGAATGTAGCGTAGTTAAAAACCTACGGCAATATGGCAAATTACCATTCGATTCTAATTCATATAGAAATACTATTTCCTATTGTTTCATATATGTATACATATATATATATATATATATATATATTTACATTGAACGGTTCAGAATACGATTATTTCTTTGGAAAAAAAAAAAAAAAAAAAAAAAAAAAGAAAAAGTAGAGACAGGGATAGAAATGAGGAGAAGGGAAAGGAGGGGGAAACTATCTTGCTCGCCATCTTGAAAAAAGAAAAAAAGAAAGTAGAAAAAAAAAGAAAGACATAATCGAAAGAACAAAAATAAGTAAATCCAAATATCTTATTCGATATCTTATTCATGACATCTAGTTTTTTCTTTTTAAATTTTATATATATATATATATATATATATATATATATATATATATATATATGAGAGAGAGAGAGATAAGTACTACATTTCTTCGTTTTGAAATAGAAATAACAATAACGAAAATAAATAGAGATAAATATTAGACAACTTATTTGTAACATTGTCTAGTATCTTTCTTTTGTAAATATGCTCAAAATATGTGTCCTATGTATTAATAAATATCTTAAAAGAGAGAGAGAGAGAGAGAGAGAGATTTATTGTTTGAAAAATTGAAATAGAAGTAAAAAAATGATAAAAAATAATCAACTATAATATTAAATATCGCATATATCATAAGATTTATTGTTTTAAACTAAAAATATCTATCCTGTTTACTAGCATATGATTATGCTTGCATCTATTTACAGTTGCATTTATTTATAGTTAATATTTTACTACACATTGAATATATAGTATATAGATATATATAATATATATTATGTAATATTCATATATATGTATATATCATATACATATATATCGACTTATGTAATATACGCAACACTTTTGTTTAATTATGTTCAACTTTTTATCATACACGTCACTGATAAAAGAAATATTAACATTATCTCATTTCGTTTTGTTTTGTTATTTTTTCGTTTACTTTTATTAGTAATCCTGTAGTATCGACGAGGAGCTGTCGTTGATGTTGTAATACTTAACGTATTACGGAAGGATTTGATCGATTTTAATCGCATTTCTCTCTAGCGGTCGGTAGTATTCTCTCGAATGCCGCCTTCTCGTAAATACTAATACTATATATATATATATGTATATACATCAACATAAATACACTGAGTCCGTGTATCTTCTTCTTTTGTGCGTGTCTATTTGTGTCGCTCGATCATCGTTTACGTATGCGATCGTAGAGAGAGAAGAGAGAGAGAGAGAGAGCGAGAGAGAGAGAGAGAGAGAGAGAGAGATGCATATACTAAACTAAAAACACATACGCATATACACATACACTTATGTGCTACACTTTTTAGTCAAAAATAATGCTATTTATAAAGTGTACCAAGTAAGTATCGGTCCGACGGTAGTATGCAAGTTCCATATTGCATACCATGATGCATACGATGAGTGTGTTGTTATTCCTTGTTTTTCTCTCTCTCTCTCTCTCTTTTTTTTTTTTTTTTTTTTTTTTTTTTTTTTTTTTTAAATAGAAATTGGACGGACATGGTAGTTTTAAACCTACCAATAAACAAAATTGAAAATATAAACTTTTTCCTTGGTAATAAATTTGTATTATACAGAGAGAAAGAGAGAAAGAGAAAGAGAGACAGAGAGAGAGAGTTTACTGTATTATAGATTAATATATAATATATAAAATATAATATATAATATATAATGTATATATATATATATATAAAATTATTTGTTGGTATCTAACTTTTGCAGTACTTTTCTCTTTTTTCTTTTTTCTCTCAAAGTTAACTGTAATATCATGTAATCACTCTAAAGCGATCACGCAACAATTTTTTTACCGTTTCATATAACTATTTTGAGATAGAATTATTTTTCTTTTCATTTCTCTTCTCTCTCTTTCTCTCCCCCTATTTTTTTCTCTGTTTCTTTTTCTTTCCTCCATATTATCTTTTTATATATTCCCTTTTATAAATTATCCTTTTATATATAGACATATAATACTGATCTTTATACTATATACTTTTATAATATATTTAAATTTAATTATACATATATTTATATTCTTTTTTGGAAAAGAAAAATATATACATATATATATATATTATATAAAGTATTGATCTATATTATACTTTTATATTATATTATATCTTATATGAACTTATATGTATGAATAAATAATATAAGATATATTATATATATGAAAACAAATAGATAAATAAATAAATAAAAAAAATATATATATATATATACACACACACATATACATAATAAGTAAAAAAGAAAGTCGATATTGTTAGTAATAATGCATTGCCAAATACAGTTGATGTATTTATGGGCATACAAAAGAAGGTTACTTTTACTAAGAAGAAAAGCGACGGGCGTTGACACTTGACCCCTATTTATCGGTATGCCGGAAAGAACGATAAATTCGTAAATAATCCATTTCAAAGCTAAACATAGTAATACCGCATATACTCACACAAATAAAAATATAAACCCACATACGTACACACACACACATACGCATCTACTTCATTATAAATCTCTATATAATAATAAAAATTCAAAGGGAAAAAGAAAAAAAAAAAAAAATAAAGAAAACAAAAAAAAAAGGAAAAAAAAATTCCCGCTATTTTAACGAACACCGTTTATTCATTATCGCAATTGATTGATTGATTGATTGATTGATTCGAGATTACGATAGAATCGTGTGTTTGGAAAGAGAAAAAATGAAAAAAGAAAAAAAAAAAAATTACCAACGATTAGATTGATTGTACGATAAAAAAGAAAAAAAAAAAAAAAGATAAAAGGGTAAAAAGTAAAAAAAAAAAAAAAATAAAATAAATAAAGAGGAAAGGAAAAAGAAAAGAATAAAAATAATGATATGATGATAAATCGATACAATGAAATTCGTACGTGATAATATATAATAAACAATATTCATTTTGTAATATTATAGTAGTCAAGATTTGATATTATCAATAAAGATCATACTCTCTCTCTTCTCTCTCTCTTTCTCTTTTCTCTCTGTCTTCATTTACATCAAGATTACTTGTTACAGCATATTCGATTTATCATTCGAATCTAAACTCTACCTGGAAGTGACGTGTTATAGATAAGAAATACATAATGTTGATTTCATATATAGCTTCCAATTTCCTTCCTTATCAATGGAATCACTTCCTATATATAAGTATATATATATATATATATATATATATATATATATATATATATATATAAGTTTTAATCAATAAAAATAGTTTAGGTTATATATATATAATTAATATATTAATATATATATATATTATTGCCAATGAATAATTATATACTATATAACAATATATTATACACACATACATTATATATTATATTATATTTATATTATATATATATATATATATATACATATATAACCTAAAATATTTTTATTCATTGAAAATAATATATTAATTAAAATAAATTTTAAAGAACCACATAAACAATATGTTATTTCTAATAACGATCTAATATACAAATGTCATTGTAAAATCAGATTTGTATTTTTATAGTCATCTATCTACCTATCTATCTATTTATGTCTGTCTGTCTGTCTATCTGTCTGTTTCTCCCTCTCTCTCTCTCTCGCTCTCTCTCTCTCTTTCTCTCTCTGTCTTTCTCTTTCCTTCTCTCTCATATGAGTATTCGTTTAATACGATGGTATGCCTGTCACTTTCGCTCCTACATATATATTCATGTACATACATACATACGAACACATATATATATATATGTATGTATGTATGTATGTATGTATGAATGTATATAACGCACAATGTAAGTCGCATTTTTATAAAAATGATGCTCTAATCGAAACTATAGATATTCCAAACATTTCTAACGCTCGATATTCATCGTCGTTTCGTTATTTAACAAAATTAAATATTCTTTTAACGTGGTAGAGACAGTTGTTAGATAGTAAGTTAGACATGCATTTCCCTTTAAGGTCAAACGCTCATATATCAATATGGAAGTATAAGTACTTGCCGTTGTAATAAAAATCAAATCGCATAGAGTGCATAGTTTAAGAGTTTTAAAAACATCTTACGTAAGTTACTGGGTCCTACGTTTTCTATTTCAACGCCATACCAATCCTATTCGCGCTTACACGATTCTATATATACATATATACATATAACTATATATATATATATACATATATACACACACCTATTATACATATATACATGTATACGTATAAAGTATGTAAGAGTACGTAAGTATATACATAGGTTATATTTATATTTGTACAATACTACGCGACGACGACACGACGACAACGACACGACGCAACGACAAAGAAAACGACGAAGAAGACGACAACGATGATGATGATGATGATGATGATGATGATGATGATGATAATGATGATAATGATGATGTTGATGATGATGATGATGTTGATGATGATGATGGTGATGATGATGATGATGATCGCAAGTACATATGTACGTTGAAATTTTTATCGAATCTTTTCTACGATATATTTATTATTTAATTATTATATAACTCACCTACGGCAGCGTGTGCAGTGGCGTTAATATCTGAGGAAGTCTCACTATCACACGAAAACTACACTTTTCACACACTCAAAAACACATTTCGTACAATCAGGGAATCTTTATTGAAAACGAGCCTCCATTGCTTGGCACGGAGTTCCTACGAGCTATCGCGGCGCTACGTTGGCTCGCTGTTTTTTTTTTTGTCATAAACAATATAATTTATATGATTAGCAATACGCTAATACTTCTGACTACCGTAATATCTAAGAATATATTGTCTTCGTACTGATCGACCAATAGCGGAGTCCTCTTCGTTTTGATTCGCTCGATACTACTAGCTTGGGGAATGTTCATTGGTCGGATCATTTTATAAGAATTATTTGATTGGTAGATTATTATACAAACTCTAATTGATTAAATCATTATGTCGATTAAATCATAATTATAGAATTATATGATAATAATCATGATATATAAATTACATAGTTTAAGTCGGTCAAACATCTTCTTAGTTTTTCTATTCGTCCATTTCAATCGTACCGATAGAATTGTCCAATCGAATCGAATTTAGATATATAAATAGATCACTTTCTGTTGTTTCATTCATCGATTGCAAATATCATTTTTAAATATCTATCGTTTTTCAATTTTTTAAACAATTATTATATAATATTGATAAATATAATTAATAATAATATTAATTAAATTATTTCGTTAGTTAATTTTAATATTCGATATTTATACGAACAAATTATATATTCTTATGAATTTGTTCTTTTTTTTTTTGCAATCATATGTTCGACGTGACAATAAATGATATAAAAAAGATGAAAAATAATAATTGTTGTATTTAATACGAACGTGTTAAAACTATCAAGCAGGTGGCGTAGGAGTGTTACATCCGTTCTAATGGCGTCAGGACCCAAGCACTGTTGTCACATTTTGTTCTACAGTGTTTCAATATTTTGCTTTGTTTATGTTAGTCAAGTTGTACAGGAAAGGGGCAGAAAATCAATTTGGTCTAAAAAAGGTGAATACAAAAAGATGAAAAAAGACAAATCTATTATTGTTATTTGTGAATCAAGTCTTAAGAAATTTTGTGAGTTCTCTGAGTGCAGTGACCTTGGTTTCTCTGTCATTTCTGAGCTCATAAAGGCGCGAAATTTAAATATTAATTTACTTTCAATTCGATAATATTACATTAGCTGTATGTAAATTTTTTTTAACGAAAAACACATCTAATTTTATTAGGTAACTTTTACTTCATATTTGTACATAATTCAATTACAATTTAAAGAAATAAGTAAAGAAATAAATCCATGAAATGGTGTTATTGATGCCATTAGAAATATTCATGGTAAATAATACAATATTAATTTAATTGTACATAATATAATATTAAATTTATGTTGTCTTTTAAAAAATGACAAAATTACATGATCAAAATTATAAATTTAATAAAAAGAATAATAATACTTTAATACCAATATTAGTAGTAATATTATTAATCCATAGGCAGGATGACCTCTAACAATATAATAATACATATTACCTATCTAACTTTGACAATATGTAACAGAAATATGAAGACAAATGAATTTGTATTACATATATATATTATATTATATATATATATATATATATTATTTTTATTAGTAATATACAACTATGATATATATATATACTATTTTTATTAGTAATATATAACTATGATTATATACATATATATATATATATATATACACATATGTATATATACTTATAATTTCTTTATTATCAGGTACAAATATTAGCCTCGCACAGATGGGTCAAGAATAAATCTTGAGAAATATTTTTTCAAATAGTATTAGATACATATATTATCATGGAGGTAACAACGGAAGAAGCACAAGCTGTATTATTAGAAGGCATGGAAGGTGCTCAATATATTACCATACAAAGAGCAGACGGAGAATCAATGAGCAAAGGGGTGCCTCTTTTAACATTAAATGGAGAATTAATATCTGAAGGAATGGTAGTTGATATGATTAATGCTGGCGTTGGTACAGATTATGGAGCTGCGACGCAATATTATGAAGCCGATGATTTATTGCCCCATGAATTAACAGAGGTAATAATATCTTATAGAACTATATATAAAAATGTAATATAATTTGTATTGTTTTATATAGGAAGATCGTAAGTTAGCAGCAGCTTTAGTTGCTGTTCAATTGCAACAACAACAAAAACAACAACAACTTCATAGTCAATCGCAACACGAAGATTCGGCACTACCTGACGTTTCTCATTTGGAAACGTTAGCGCCTGTGAATAGTTATTCTATACAAACCGTACCCGAACCAAATCCACCCACCATTTATCCAACTTTACAATCATTTAAAAGAATAGGACATAATGTAAAACAGGAATTTATAAATATTAAAAGTGAATACGACGTCAATGTATCGGCTGAAAGTAGTGAGGATACAACGCCAACTCCTGGACCTAAACGTTCTTTACCTCATAAAAAACGGATTCCACGTAAATTGAAACAACAGACAAAGAAAAATTCTACCAAAAAGGATATTACTAAATCCAATCAAGATTCCATAAACGTGGAACAAAGAACTGAAATGCAAGTTCATGTATTTGAATGTGAATTATGTGGCTCTAGATTTAGTAGCCAATTGAAATTTTTTGAACATTTAAAGGTGATCATTTTTAAAATTAATTCATCCATTATGTTAGATCCATTATATAATTAAATTATTAATTATATTTTAGGTACATTATGAACCGGTAAAGCAAGAAACTAGAATAGCTCAAGCAACAAATACCAGTATCACAATATCAGTAACAGAAACGGTACAGAGCCTAGAAAATACTGTGATAGAAGAGTTTAGCGAACCTGAAGATATTATGGAGGGAATCAGAGGTGTGGGTAAGTATAAGGACACTGTTCTCAAATAATATATATATATATATTTTTTTTTATTTGTTTATCTTTATATAACTTAAAATAATCTATTTACTTACTTTTTATTAATTAGTGGAAGAAACAGCAGCGCATATTAACGATGAAACGGAATCTCCATTATCCACTACAAATAATGAATCTATGTTGTGGGCTATAACAGATGTTACCGATCATGTACATAGGGACCATGTTAGAACGTCTACTACTACTGAACAAAATTTACACGAAAAAGAAAAGACTGATATCCCGCAGACAGCAAAAAAAAAGAAATCTTTGAAAACCCGAAAATCGAGTGCGTATACGTTCAAAAAGAAAAAAAAAAAAAAAAAAAAAAAAAGAAAAAAAAATAAATAAATATTTTTTTAATAATATCAACAGTGACTATATAATACTAAATGATTAATTTTTAATGAATATAATATTATATCTCTTAGACGACGAATTAACGTGTCCTCAATGCGATCGATCATTTCATCATAAGAACAGTCTTGTTTATCACATGAGATCGCACAGTGGTGAAAGACCGCATCAATGCGAAGTCTGTGGAAAAAGCTTCTTTGCAGCTAGTGCATTAAAGGTAATTAAATATAATAATAATTTTTTTTTACGTCATAAAACATTTTAATGAAATAAAAATACAATCATTGATAATTAATTTGTCTTTTATAGGTACACAAACGACTTCATAGCGGTGATAAGCCATATAAATGTGAGGAATGCGGTCGTCATTTTAGACAATGGGGTGATCTTAAATATCATTCGACTAGTATTCATTCAGAACAAAAACAATATCAATGTGAATATTGCGGTAAAGATTTTGCACGAAAATATTCTTTAATTGTCCATAGACGTATCCATACAGGTGAAAAAAATTATCGTTGTGAATACTGTAATAAAACATTTAGAGCAAGTAGTTATTTACAAAATCATCGTCGTATACATACGGGTGAAAAGCCACATCCATGTACGGTTTGTGGGAAACCATTTAGAGTAAGAAGTGATATGAAAAGGCATATGCATACACATTCACGAGGGAGATCTGACAGGCCTTTAAATAGAATAATGACTGGGAAAAATGTTGAGGAAGATAATGACAAAGGTGCACAAGCTAAAACTATTCAGGATCTTGTAAGAGATTTAAAACTTGAGGTAGAAGCAACGGGTGTCGTAGAGATTGTCCCACCGGATGATAATCCAGAAAGTATTTTGCCGCATCCCGGTGGACAAACTTTGGAATATACCGTAACAACAACGGCTGATGGAAATTCCGAGAGAGATCCATTGGAGGCGGTTGTTCGTACAACCGATAATATGTATGTATTATTACAATTGATTTCTCAATGATATTTATCGCATTAAAAATCATCTCTTTTTCTTTCCTTTTTTTTTTTTTTTTTTTTTTTTTTTTATTTATTATTATTATTATTATTTTTATTTTTTTTTTTCACATTTCAGGCAATACTTTTTTATGTAATTATACATCAAGTAAAATAAGAGAACTGTATAATTTCATCCACGTGAATGTAAGGAAATATCATAAAATGATAAGAAAAATTATGAATAAGAAAATATCTTATTCATTATTTCTTCATAGCGAAATAATTTTATTTTTCTCTATAATTATTTCCTCGGATTTTTGTAATTTATGCCAACTGGAAAGTACAGAATAAGAATCCTATACAAAATAAAGGAAAAAAAGAATAAAAGAAAAAAAAAATAAAAAAAAAATAAAAAAACAAAAAAGAAAAAAGAAAAAAAAAAGATTGTATATCAATTTAAATACACAATTATAAATATATATATATATATATATATATATATATATAAATATATAAATATATATATATATAGAATATATATATATATACATATATATATATATATATATATATATATATATATATATATATATATATATATATGCATATACACACAACATATTGTAACTACATATGCTCTTAAGGACATTGTATATGTACATTTTTATGGTTAAATAATGCAGCTGTTTATATCGTGCATAAATGTTAAGAAAATATATTTTTTACTTGGAGATGTTTATAGAAATATGTTGGTCCATTCTTTTTCTTACCTACATATAAACCATCCAATATTATTATCAATTTAAACGTCTCATGTGGAAACAACGTTACCCGTAAAAATTTGCAAAAGTTGAACGAAATCTCTTGATTCAAGCGAATCATTTAATTTTTCCGCAGCAGTTTTACTGCTAATTCTATTGAATTTTTAAATATAAAAATATTATTAATCAATTGCATTATAAAAAAAATTTCATAATAATTCAAATAATTATTACCTTCGAGCTCCCCTTGCTCTTTCCCAGTCAACATATAAATCTGTTATTACACCATGTAATCTATTTAAAATATCAGGATCCTTTGTCAATTTTGTTCTAATGTTTTGTTCATTTGCAATTAAATCTTGATACTGCGAACATAAATTTTCTTTTGGATTTGTCTTCAATTCAAATTCTTCAAGAGCATCTAAAATCTTAATTTTTTCAATTAATTCATGAACAGCATCTAATTGAGGTCGGATGAGTTCTAATACTCTTGATATACTTCCAACAGCAACATCTATATGTAACAATAAATGTATAAATATATATATATATATATATATATATATATATATATATATATATATATAAATTTATAAATTTTTTTTCAAATATAAAAATGAATAGTTTCATTTGTGATAATAAAATTGTACAAGAAATAGTTCGCAGCGCCATTTATATATTTCTAAAAGCAATCTCTTCCATAGCTTTTAGGAACATTCTTCAGATGTCGCTAACGAATAAGTTCTATCAATTAAAAAAATCAATTCCATATAAATATTTACCACAAAATACTTCTAATTTAATTTTTCGCTTTGTTGCCTCCCTCGTTAATATATCTCTAAGTATTATAATGCTTGATATATTTTCTCCCAAAAATATCGCATTTCCTTTTCTGTAATTAAATGGAAAAAAAAGAAAAGAAAAAAAAAAAAGAAATGAAGAATATTGAATTTTTGTCTAATGTGACAAAATAAAAACTATGAAAAACTAACTTATATCTACACTTCAATATTGTTCCGATAAAAGATGATTTATACGTTAAAATGGCTTCATTTTCATATAAATGTGGTCTTTCGGGAACATCAGGTAATACAAGAGAAAGCCACGCATGCATCTGAAAAATGAATAAATAATTAGAATATATTTTATTCTTTATAATGATAGAAAGAAAATGTTTATTAATGTATATACTCTTTTATAAATGTTTACTAATTAATAATTTTTCGATACCTCAGCAACTGTAAAACCACCGTTCAATCTTAATTCATTAAAAGGTCCTCCTGGCAATATATCCGCATCGTCTTCTATGTGTTGTCTTTTATGTAAGGATAATGCATATATAGGTATTGATATTCTACGACAACATTTTGGCTGTACCTAAGATCATAGATATGTATTAATATTATTAGGGAAAAAAGAAGAAAAAAAAACAGAATAATAATAATAATAATAATAATAATAATAATAATATTCTTATCTCAAATTAATATTCATAAACAATACCTGTGATGTAACATAAATTTGTAATGTACCTGGTTGGCCTTCAATCGTTCGTAATCTCATTTCAAGACGATTGGTATTAATCTACGTATATTAAAAAATAATATTCAAATATAAATTATTGATTACTTTATATAACAATAATATATATATATATACATACTTGACATCTATATGTAGCAAGTACAAAGTTTCCTTCCTTTGGATTGCATACGGATAAACTTACTACTGCACTATTATTTTCTACGTCTAATAAAACTATCGGTGTGTCCGATTGTATGAGAATATTATCTATCGATGTATCCAGTTCTATCGAAAGTGAATACGATGCATCTTCTTCGTATAATGCCATTCTATAGGATTGAAAAAATTATGATAAATAAATTTTTTTAAATAAGTCGTTATAATTATTGAAAATATTTTTCATTGTTAAATGTTAAATCATTACCTATGTTTTACGGCCAATATTAAAGGTGCTAAAGGATCGGCTGTAAAGTTAGTAGTTTCTCTTTCCTCGATAAGTTTTTCTTCCAATTGTTGTATTTCAAGTTTCAATTTTGCTACGACAGTATCGCTTTGTCCAGCTTCTAAAAGACCAGGTGGTTTAGTAGTTAGGCCAAATATTTTACCAGAATAGGTAGTAACAAGAACTTCAGGATAATTGGTGGCACCAATGATTCCTCCGGTAACAGTGCTAATACTTTCGCCAGCATTCTATAAAATATTTTTGTTATTTTTTTTTTTTTTTTTTGCAATATGAATAATTCTATATTCCTCCTATTATATGGAGATATATAATATAATATTATATAAATAAATATGTAACATTTACATAACGATAACGTAAACACGGTGACGTATCTTCATCTGGAAATGTAAAGACTTCAACAATTCCATCTTGTCGTCCAATAATTATATCCAAACCATCTTGCAATTCAAATGTATCCAAAGTAGTAATTTCAGATCCCATTGAATTAATTAACCAAGTAATTCTCAATGTTTTATTGCCTTGAAGATTTAATAGACCAACTTTACCATCGATAGTACCTAACAAAACACGTTCCGTTGACTCCGTTTCTTTTTCCCTAATTAAATTGTCCATGTCAATATTGATACTATAGTTAATATAATTTATAATAATTAAAATTAAAAAATTATTATATTATTAGATATTTATATACACTATTAACAGAACCTATATACAGCAAGCACCGTTGGAATACTTGGGAGTCTTAAAACTGTTGGCCTCATAGTACCATGTAAAACACGTACCTAAAATATATAAGAATAAGTATTAAAAGATTAATATTTTGTTGAAGATTATATATATATTTATTTATTTATTTATTTATTTATTTATTTATTTATTTTTTTTTTTTTTTTGTTAATACTAACTGCACAATCTCCACAAGCAAGAATGGCATATACCATAGAATTGTCACTTGGTAAGAGTACAACATCGTGTAATATCTCCCCAGCCAAATATGAATCTGCATCTTTACAATCATGATATCTATGATAAAGATCTCTAGCACAAGCTGCTAAATTTGGACCAAGCACATATCTGTTCAATACATTAGATAAAAAATTTTTAAATCTTTTTTTATATTATTATTATTATTATTATTATTATTATTATAAAATATATTAGTATGTACAAATGTATATAAATAGAGATTTCTCTTTAATCAAATTAATTATTAGAAAGAGACAAAAAATATAACTTACAAAGCAGAAATAGGATCTAATAGACTTGTATCAAATTCTAAAAACAATTTTCCTTTTTTGGTAAAACCTTTAACAGAATTTCCATAGGCAATAAAAATCTTATCCCTTGCCATTCCCAAGGAACCTCCAAGAATCATTTTATTAATTTTTGGTCCAGGTAGAGATTTGAATAATGCTTGTAATTCTCCTTTCTTCATACCTATTTTTTTGAAGAGGAATAAAATCATTTTGTTTTTTTTTCTTTTAAATACGGATTATTTAGTATAATGTAAAAAAAAAAAAAAAAGAAAAAAGAAAAGAAAGAAAAAGAAAAAAAAAGAATAAATAAATTGGATTATTTACCAAAGACTTGCAGTATACCATCGTGATCACCAACAGCAAATTTTTGTGTTTGTTTAGGATCTGTTGGAGGTAAAATTCTAGTTGTACCACGAGAAGTAACACCAACAGACACATAATCAACACGTGAAAGTGTTAATGTCATTTTTTTATAAATGTAAATTACAAAGTTTCATATATAAATATATATGAATAAATATATATATGTATGTATATATATGTACATGTATATGTTATAACATAATCTTAAAAAATTATATACAATAAGTAAAAAGGATTGTATTAGATTTGTAAGTACTTATGGATCGATTTATCCATAGCGACAATAGAACACAACAAAGTTTATATGAAAAATAATTCTCAAGAGAATACTAAATGGTATACATAGATATTATCCCAAATTTTGATTTACTTTAAGAATTATTATTATTATATCAATATATTATATTATAAAAATCATATACATATATATCGTTTGTTGCTTATATTTGGATAATTTTTTTACTTTAGAATTGAACAAATTTAAATCCATGATACGTTTATTTTGATGTCATATATTTGGCATCCTAACCTAAACTGACATTATATAGAATGAATTATAACGAGAGATAATATATAATATTTTATTTTATAATGAATATTGTAATGATTAATATTTTATTTTTAAAATTGATCGAATTCAAAATCATAATTTATATTATTATTTCGTTCCTAAGATTGAGTACACATGCTATTTAAAATATTAAAAATTTTGACCAATCGCATTGCTCGATCGCCATAATGCTGATAGAAACAAATGAAATATTCTGAATATTGTAATTATGTCCTTAATTTTTATAGAGTAATAAATTTGCAATATTGTCTGATGTTATACGTTGCAAGACAATAAATCCAAAAATAATCCATATAAACACATTGCGATTTATAATAGGTTTATATAATAAATTTATAATCAAAATGATAATAAGGAAAAATATATTTTGCAACAATTAATAAAATTTATTATTAAAGTTTATAAAATATTTTTTTTTTGCAGATATTTCAGACAATTTATTCGTAATAATTTATATCAGAAGAAATGAAAAGCCTTGTACATAACGAATGGCAATCTGACGTATGAAACGTTAAAACATTTTCCTGATTTCTACAATACAGACTACTGACAACTGATAATGAAAAATTACCAAAGAAACATAGAAACGAGGTACCAATTTAAATTCATATATATTGAATGAATTATAATGTGAAAATTTGTTGTTTTATAAATATCTCTTTGTCATCTAGAATGTTATTTAATAATAGATCATGCAATTAGTTTTATAAATTGTTCATTATAAGAAGTAATCATATTTATTAATTATTTTGCAAATATGTTATCAGATTATACTTTTAACAGGGATTTCCTCATTTAAAGTATACCTGGGAATCACTAAAATATAATCAAGAAGAGAAAGTTGAATTTTTTCTTATTACATAAGAAGACAAGAAGTTCAGTTTATATTCTTACAAAATGGCAAGTACATCAAAAATGGATTTGTCAGATTATCATTGGGTTAGTATAATGACATTTATATATTTGATAAAAAAAAAAAAAAAAAAAAAAAGAAAAAAGAAAAGAAAAGAAAAGAAAGAAATTATGAATATTTTTTGTAAATTATTTTACTAAATATATATATATTTTCCTAAATTAGGATCAAATGATGTACAAAGCTGTAGCATATCAACAAGATTTTTATGAATTACTTCCAAGTTGGACTACATATAAAAAGGAAGATGTCAAGTTCATTAAGCAAAATATAGGATATTCAATATTTGGTTCACCTCTTTTTGAGAAAACTTCTGATTCTAAAGATATTTTAAATTTTAAGATTAATAATGCAAATGAAGATACAGAGATATGCGAGGTTATTTGTTATAGTCCTAATGCTCAGGATCTTATTGATAGAATTTTTAACATGATATGGACATATGGTAGACGACTTAAAGATGATAATATAAATTATGGCATTGTATATAATATACTTTTTCGTAATAAAATGGATAAACCGTCAAGGTCAAATGACGAAGAAGAAATAATAGCTATACCTGTATTTAAAATACAGCATTACAATGATAAAACACAAATGAAAAGCAATACGCATAATGAAAACATTTATACTGTTTGGTATATAGATATAAAGGGTAGAGTATACAAAAGTTGGGAAGATTATTTGAAGAATAATAATTTACCAAAATGTACAATGGTCTTTCCAAAAGACGGTTATTATCAACCAAATCCTGAATATGAAATTACTTCCAATAAATCTATTATATGGGTAATCGTTCAAGACTCTTATGTGTGTTCAAGACGGGCAAATATTTTGTCTATGATTAACAATACAATTAATGCAGTAGGGACTGCTGCTGTTGTTGGATTTGGAATTGCAACGATTTTTAATCCTACCTCTCCAATAGTTGCTATTGGAAGTAAATAAGATTTCTTAGTAATTATATAAATTAATTTAAAGAATTTTAAAATGTTCATATATATTGATTTATATTTTATTATTTATAGAAGTGGCAACATTGGTTGCAAGTGGTGCTTGGACGTTTAAGACATCTTCCGTAAAATTATACGATATGGCAGTACACCAAGAATCTATTAAACCATTTAATCGAAATGCTTTGTCCGCTTGGCTTGGTATAGCAGGAAGTACTGTTGGAATAGCGATTTGCGGCAGTACAATCCTCTTGAAAAAAGCAGCTGCAGCAGGTATCGCTGTTAATCAATTAGCCATGTCAACGCACGATGCTATGGTAATAACCAGTATATCAATAAATTTAATTGGCCTTGGTTATGAAAGCTTACATACTCTTGGAAAGTATAAAAAAGAAAAAAGAGTTGATATTCAGGATATTATTTATCTTGGAACTTATCTATTGTTCTTTACAAATTCTATTATAAATATAACATTTGCTAAAGAAATAATTGAATTGACCCAAGGAGATATATTAAGAAAGATTGAAACGGAGTTGCGCAATAATAATTTGCGCCAATATTATGAGTTCAAGAAAATAAAAAGTGATATGGAACCTAATGGTAATAAAATTAATCAGAATGCTGCTATTATACGAGAGCTTAAAACAGTCACAGTAAATGACTTTATGTTTAATAATAATTATTTCGTTTATACATCAAATCGTTTATTAAGCATAGAACAGGGAAAAATAAAGTTAAATGGAATAACTTTATTAGATCCATTATTATTTGTTGCCATGATAGGAAAAAATTTGTTGAAGAACATTAACGATTGTGAAGATCAATCAAATACATATATAGATCAACAAAATACATTAAAAAAATTACTTGAAACTTTATTGACAGATTTGTATGTGAGCAGAAATGATTTAAATACTGAATGTGTACCTACAATTCCTCAATTTCGATTTCTCATAGAGGAATTAAAAAAAATTGATAACTCTGAAAATATATTATCATTTATATTTAACACTGCTGTTACTATATTAAGCAGTGGCAATAAATTGGCATATTTGGTCGAAGGATGTCGTTTTGTATGGGATTATATTAAAATAAATCTGACAGAAGCAGGATATGAAAAGTTTCTTACTGCTAAATACAGTTCTTCTTATAATAATAACAATGTAATGGAACTTTTTTTTATAACGATATTCAATGCAGTAGATTCAATGATTCAATCCTTTTTTAACGCACTTCAAGAATATATACGAATAATACATAAATCTTATTAAGATCATTAAAAATAGAGATGTAAAATTTCTACGATAAATATTATATATATATATATATTTTTTTTTTTTTTCTTTTTCCATAAAAATATTATAAACGTAACAAATATATTATTTCTTTGTTTCTTCCATTTTTGTTCTTTTTTTTCCTTTTTTTTTTTTTTAGATATTTAGATTGCTTTCACTATATTATTATATTATGTTATCGGTACAATATTGCTATCTTTTATATATTTATTAATGCATGTACGTTATATTCTTTATATTTATACAGAATTTATTGAATTGATAAACAATAAAATTATTATTATAATACAGAATATTTTTTATAAATTATACTTTCTATCGGTTTTTATCATTGATTATTCCGGAAGTATGGGATGAAGATGAGCGAGACATCATCTGCATTTGGTTTCGAAGTTCATTCTTACGTACAGACCCTCGTTTACCGTCGACGTCGACGCCGACGCCGACGTCGTCATCATCAAAGGCGAAAAAGACTGAGAAAGAAATGCCTTAGGTCCCTTAAAATGATTTCATGCTAAATCAATCATTTTTCTCTCTCTCTACATCTCTCTCTTTTTTTCTCTCTCACTTTTTTTCCTCTTTCTTTTTTCTTTCTAATACCTAAAACTTTTTCTCGTTTGCTTTTCTTAAAAAAAAAAAAAAAAAGAAATTCAACGCTCAATTATTTATTTATAATGTGTTACTTCTTATTTATTTATTTATTTATGCATTTTTCTGTTTTAATTTTACCATTGGTTTTGTAATTCTTTTTTTTTTTCTTTTTTGTTTTTCTTTTTTCATTAAATTTAAACAAAACATTAATTGCCTGCTTTTCTCTTCCCCGATTGAATTTTATTAGATAAGTTAATTTTTTCAAAACGATAAAATCCTTTTTATTGGATTAATTCTTTTAACTTTTTATCTTATCTCTTCCTAGATAATAAGATCTCTTTCTAAGTGAATAAGAAGACACGTCGATGATATTCTAAAGAAAAAGAAACATTAACCCTTCCTTATTGGGGTGTGTTGCTTCTAAGACGTAACTAAAAAAGAAGGGTTGTTACCACTGACGATTTACGATTAACCGGTCTAAAAGCATTTCCATCTCTCTCTCTCTCTCTCTCTCTCTCTTTCTTTCTCTCTCTCCTCCCTCTCTTTCCCTCTTATTCTAAAGCAGGCAAGTTCTTTTATTTAAGGATAGAGGAAGCATTTTCGGTTCCTCTCGATGGCGTTCTTTTCCATCTACGTGTATAAATCAGTTTACTAAAGAAACATTTTACGTCTGTATATGTGAGCTGATATATGACCGTGTGATTCATTAACCGTCTCTGATGAAGCATGTGTTAATGAAGAGAAATGTCCTCTCTTCTATCTACGTTTGCCTATATAAAAAAAGGGATGCATTTATTTTTGACCGTTATCTTTCGCGTTCAAATATTCTCACGACGAAAAAAAAATGATGTTAAATCCCACAAAATCTCTTTACAATAATATCCTGATATATATATATATATATATATATATATATATATATATATATAAATTATACTTCGTATAATTAAATGATTAATTATAATTGAAAAAAAAGAAAGA